AATAAAGCAAGGATATCTCTCGTAGCTACCAAACTCTACCCAATTCATAACTATTTTTAATTTCATCAATTTGTAACTATTAAATTTCACCGTTTTCTTGTTTAATAATTAGATCCCCCCAAAACCCCAAAACCCCAACTTAAATGCTCATTTTCAATATTTGCTTCATTATTATTAAATTAAGCTTAGAATAATTCTCATAAATTTTGGGGGATTCATTTAATCCTCATCACTGAGTTAGTGACTCATCAAGCAAGTATTTTCTGAATGGCTCAATTTCGTCTTCTCTATTTTCAGCTTATAAGAGCTCTTTAAGAGTAAGAGCTATCTTAGATTTATTGTTTTCTCCTTCTACTAACTCAATGGCCTTCTTATAAGCATCTATGGCATTGGATCTTTCCTTGTTCAGCTTTAGATTATTGCAGTATACATCAGCTAACTTCTACCAGCCCTCGCCATGCTTAGGATCAATCTTGATTAGTTGAGCAAAACTTTCAGTAGCTTAATCATAATATCCTTCTCTCACATATAAATCTCCTATTTCTTCAAGAATTTCAGTGTCATTTAAGCCAGTTTTTAGAGCTTCACGGAAGCATATCTATGCTTAGAATTTTCTATCCTTGCCCACTGTAAGGCATAATATGCACATATATCCCCAGATCTTTGGATTGAAGTTATCAAGAATATTTGCTTGAGTAAAAGCATCTTCAGCCAAACTTAATTCTCCAAGTCTGAGTAAAGCCAAACCAAGATACATCCATGAGGTGGTAGAAGTAAATTCTTTGCAGCATTTAGCAAACACAACTTTAGCATCTTTCCATGCCTTTCTTCTTGCATACACAATACCTAACCTTTCCTAAAGAATCTAATCTTTAACTGGTGGTTTCAGTCTTAAAGCCTTAATGTAACTTTCCTCGCTATCGAAAAGATTGTTAGCCATAAAAAAGGCATGACCTCTAAGGATCCAAGCCGCTTGATTCTTTGGATCATTTCCAAGGATCTTGTCAAGTGACTAAACTGCCTCTGGGAAATTTCTTTGCTGAACTCTAATCTTAGCTTAAGTCATTAAGAATCTCTCGGACTAGTTGTCTTTAATGTAGGAAAGAGTGAATTCAGCTAAGTCATATACCCAGTATTCCAGAAGGAATTCAATAAATTCAAAGTAAAGAAGATCCTGCTAGTCGTAACTTAGTTGCTAATCTTTAGTGATTTTAAAATCGACTGCTTAAATCTTAAATTCTTCTTATATAGTTCTAAAATTCTTTGGCTAATTACTCTTTGGTGGAAGCAGATTCAATTCTCTAAGTTTTCTGCATTTGGCAATTGCAAAATGCTTTCTAGACAACCCTGGTCTTTCTAATTTATCGTAGAGGAGTCCCATTAGTATATTGGCTTTATAGTCCTTCCAATCAGAATCTAGCACTTAATTGAGAATTTCTAGTGCTCCTTTGAAATTGCCTCTTTGCACTAATAGAGTGGCTTAAAGTATCCTATTCAAATTAGAGTATTCCGACTCTTCGATCAACTTTTCAAGATAATATTCAGCGCGAAGGTACATACCATATTTCAGACAAAATCGAGCATAATCTCTGTACATTGGATACGGTCTATACTTGCAGTCGTACAAACAGTTGAGTAGCCACTTTTCAGAATTTTCTTAATCATTTTTAATGTCAAATTCCTTATACAGTCTCTTGCATTTGTCCTCAAAGTTCTCGTTGAAACTCTTATTGATCTTATTTTGCTTGTCATCTCTTAAGGAATCCTTCTGCATCCAAATGTCCTAGTGGATTTGCTCCTTATTTTAATCGATGGCATCAGAGAGAGTCTTCTTCATCAGCTCGTTCACATAAACATACAAATTAGCCTTGAACTTTGCTCTCTCCTCTTGGGTAAGATTTTTGTTGCCTATTTCTCTCTTGTACTTCTCAACAACAAATCTCAAAACTGACTTCTTCAGCTTTTCTCTAAGAACTGAATACTTTGAGCCAACGTTAAACTCAATCAGGAATTTCTCCTTTCTCTACTCTCTCATTTCTCTCTATTAGGCTGGAGTTGAATATATCGTGGAGCCTGGTTTTTAACCTCTGGGACTGTCTTTGTCATCTGAGCCTTGCATTGTGCCTTCACCCGTAAAGACACGGTTATACTCAACACCAATCTCCTTTACAATAACATTGATTGTTCTGTGGAACTCTCTGACAGCAGCATTGGTATCAGGAAGACTAACAGCAGTGTTGCTGTAGAAGGCCTTGTTCAAGACAACCTGTGATAGTTGTTCAGTATAAATATAGGGGTAGATTGGTTAGTCTAAACTGAGACTATAATAGATGTAAGTTTGAGATGGCTCAAATACTTATTCCTGACTTCCTTCTCCTTCTGGGTTTTTAGAGTAAGTTTCAATAAGTTGCTTCATAACCTGAGTGTTATTGCCAGGGATCAGCAATTAGGTTAAATCGAGAAAGACTCTTCCATGAACTGGCTTCATTTCTTCAGTGCCTCCTTTCTTTGGAGCAGCTTTAGCACCTCCCTTCTTAGGATCTTCATCCTCAGCTGGAGCTAATTTATCGAAATAGAGGTATACTCCTTATCTCTCGAATACATCTTCCTCGAACTTAAGCAAATCCTCCCCATTTAATGTAATAGTTACGGGCTCTTAGTTACCTGTAGAAGAGTCTATGAACTTTATGCTTGGCTCTTTGAAAGAATCTTCACAGTATCTCTCAAACTTTTCTTGATTAGAGTATTCTTGCCACTGTTGTCTATAGTACTCCATCTTTTGTTCCTTTTCTGCTTATTCTCTCTCAATTCTTTCCTTTTCTTCAGCTGAAATTTCATCTTCCTAGCCTTTTTTCTTGGGATCTTTGGCTGGAGGTGCTCCCTTTTTATCTATAGAAAAGGAATAACATAGATATTTGGGTACTTTTAGCAGCTTCTGCCTCTGCTTTTTCCTCTTCACTAAGTTATCTGGGTACTACTTTGCCTCCCTTGAGATGCATGTTGTACATTTTTATCTCATATTAATACATTTGCTCTGTTGGATCATCCTAAAATTTAAACGTTACTAATTAGCACTAATTAAAACTAAACTTACAATTTTAGATTTCCATCCGTCTGGCAATGAGAAGACTCCAGAAAGTTGGAATGTCAATTCTAACTTATCAAGTCTTTCCTTGTTTCTTTGAATAAGACTTGCATTGAGCTAATGCTGAGGAGGCCTCTCATAAGCCCTCTTTTAAAAGGCGTGTGCTTTTGTATCGAATGGGAAAGTTACAGTCGACATATTAAGAATTTTAATTTATTTATTACTTTATTTAAATTTGAAAATATAAATCAAGAGGGGTTTTGGGGTTTTGGGGTTTTGGGG